TGATGATACTGATGATGATGGTACTGAATATGATGATAATGTTCATGATGCTGATGCTGATGCTGATGCTGATGCTGCTGATGATGATGACGATACTGAGGATGATGATGACGCTGATGATGATGATGATGATGATGACGATGATGATGATGATGATAATGATGATGATGATGATGTTGATGATGATGATGCTGATGATGATGGTGATGGTGATGTTGATGATGATGATGCCGATGATGATGATGATGATGATGATGATGATGATGATGATGATGATGATGATGATGATGATGATGATGATGATGATGGTGGTGGTGGTGGTGGTGGTGAGGCGGAGGAGGAGGAGGACGATATGTGCTGAAGATGATGATGCTGATGATGATGATTATGATGATGATGATGATGATGAGATGTGATGCTGGTGCTGATGATGAGATGATGATGATGATGATGATGATGATGATGATGATGACGCGATGATGATGATGAGGAGGAGGAGGAGGAGGAGGAGGAGAAAGGAGGAGAGGGGAGGACGAGGAGAGGAGGAGGAGGAGGAGGAGGAGGAGGATGAGGAGGAGAGGAGGAGGAGGCGGAGGAGGAGGAGGGAGGAACAGGAGAAGAGGCGGAGGAGAGGAGGAGGAGGGAGCAGGGAGAAGGGAGGAGGGAGGAGGGAGGAAGGACGGAGGAAGAATGAAGAGGGAATGAAGAGGAAGAGGAGGAGGACGGAGGACCGAGGAATGAAGAGGAAGATGGAGGAGGAGGAGGGAGGGCGGAGGGAGGAGGGTTCAGGGGGAGGTAAGAGGGAGGGGAGGGGAGGAGGGCGGGAGGGAGGAGGGGGCGGGAGAGGAAAGTAGGAGGAGGGAGGAGGGAGGAGGAGGAGGGAGGAGGGAGGAGGGAGGCAGGGGGAGGAGGAAGGAGGAGCGATGCGGGGAGGAGGGAGAAGAGAGGAGGGAGGAGGAGGAGGAGGAGGGAGGAAGGATGGGGTAGGATGGAGAGGCGGAGTTGAGGAGTGAGGAGGGAGGAGGGGGAGGAGGAGAGAGGACGACGGAGAGGAGGAGGGATGAGGGAGCAGGGAGACGGGAGGAGGGCGGGAGGGAGGAGGGAGGGAGGGGAGGGGGGAGGTGGGGAGGGGGAGGGGGGGGAGGGGGGGAAAGGGGGGAGGGGGAGAGGGGTTGGGTGGGAAGTTGGAGGGGGGTAGGGAGGAAGGAGGGAAGAGGAGGAGGGAGGAGGGTGGAAGAAGGAGGGAGGAGGGAGGAGGGAGGAGGGGGAGGAGGGGGAAGGAGTGAGGTAGGAGGGAGGAAGGAGGGTGGAGGGCGGAGGGAGGAGGGAGGAGGAGGAGAAGGAGGAGAAGGAGGAGGAAGAGGGAGGTTAATGAGGCAATAGAGGGGAAGGGGCGGGAGGAGGGAGGAGGATGACGGATGGGGCGGCGGGACGATGCAGCAGTGAGCAGGGGGCGGAGGAGGCTAGCGGGAGTGCTGAGAAGGGAAGGGCTGCCCCGTCCCTCTCCCTCCGCCTCTTTCTTTCTCCTTCCCTGTCTCTCTCTCTCTCCCTCTCCCTCTCCCCCTCCCCGTCCCTCTGCCCCTCTGCAGCCCGATGAGGGTGATGAGGAGGACAGCCGAGCATCCCCCCCCCATCCCTCGCCGAGGTGATCCTGCCGGTGCGCCTCGTCTTCGAGCAGGCCCGGGCGTCCGGGGTCGGCGCCGCGGCGCGGGCGGTGAGCAAGGCGCCCCGCGCGCGCCCGCGCGCGCCCGCGCGCGCCGCTTCCGAGCGCTCGGCGCGCGCCCTTCCCCCCCCCCCTCGGCGCGCCCCGGTTCCGAGCGCTCGGCGCGCGCCGCTTCCGAGCGCTCGGCGCGCGCTCGGTGAGCGGCTCGGGGGGGAACACCACACAGACACAAGTCATCGTCGATTCCCAGGAGGACATGGGAGAATCTGGGAAGTGGGGGGGACGACGAAACCCCAGAAGATATTGTGAACATCGGGGGATCCGTGTCCATTGGTTTGTGTGTGTCCCTGGGCCCTTCTCTCTCTCCCTCTCCCTCACCGTCTCCCCGGCCCATGGGCTCTCCGGAGGTTGGCTCAAGGAGCTCAAGGCTCAAGGAGCTCAGGAGCTCAGGAGCTGTACCCCCTTAAATTCCCAATCGCACCTGTACCCCCTTAGTTTCCTGGTCACACCTCTCCTCCTACTTTCAGACCTACCTCTCAGCTCCGGCCGCCGCGGCGGCGAACATGGGTGACGACCAGAGCACTGGAGCCACGCAGGGCGTGGCGGACCTCCAGATGAACGGCACCGAGAACCCTGGGGTGTCGCAGACGTTGGCCGAGCTCGATGACATCGAGGTGGACGAGGAGACCATCACGAGGACTGCGGCTGCCGCGCATGCTGCGGGCTCCGCTGCAGCGGCGGCGCCGGCGGCCCCAGTGCCGGCTGCGGCGCCAGCGGACGCAGTGCGACCGCCGGGACTCGAGGGCCCCTCGCCGCGCGAGATCTTCCTGCAGAGCTGGGTGGACAACGGGGTCCTGCACCATTTCGAGCTGGTGCACTCCTCCCTTCCCTCGTCGGACGCTCCCGGCCCGCAGTCGCTCCCCGTCAAGCTCCCCCAGGACTACTCCGGACTCGTGTCCATCTTGACTCGGCTGGGCTACAACGTATCGGCCCGCGACCACTGGGCGCTCCTAGGGTTTGCGAGGCTCGAGGGCCCCGACCCGACGGACATCGATATCGTGGCCAGGGGAAGGGCCGCCTGCGAGGTGATCTCCCTCTCCTCGGCGCAGGGCTGGCCGCAGGACGACGCAGCGAAGGCTCGAACCCTCATGAACGAGTTCATCGCCGCGGCGCCCAAATGCGAGGACGAGCTCCCCAGGATCCTCAAGGAGCGGCGGAGGATCAAGCCTGACCGCCTGCCCCTCTATCGGGAGCTCGGGCTGGAGGCAATCTCCGCCCTCAAACAGAACATCAACCTTCCCAACGTGGAGCTCTTCACGCAATGGTCTGACGTGCTCAAAGCGCGTGACCCTGCCCTGCATGAGCCCCGCCTCTGCAGGGTGATCGCGTCGCTGACCGAGAAGGGGAACGAGGAGCTGTGGGACCGCCTGGCGGGCAGGGTCCCCGTACTGTGGATCCCCGAGGACGCGAACGCGCAGACCCGCCTCCGTTCCTCCCTCCTGCGGCGCGTGGCTGACCAGCCTCGCCCCGTCACAGTGGTCATGATCTCCACGATCCCGCTGACGACGGGCCTCACCAACATCACCAACATCACGGACATCTGCTCGTTCCCACTGCTGTCCGAACGGTGGGTCCCCCTCGTCAAGGACGTTGCCTTCATCTCCTTCCCCTTTGAGGTGATAATGCCCACGATGTCGGGGGCTCCACGGGTGCAGCACCACGGACTGAGCATGTTCTCGCTGCAGCTGAACGGCGGCAGGCGCCTCCCCCGCATGATCTCCATGACCCCGCTCTTCCAGATCGAAGCGGCCCGCGCTGTGACCTTCGACGTGCTGGTAGACGACCTGCAGGTGCTTATGGCGCTCCTCGCACATCGGTTGGTGGCCGGTGCCACGCCCCGGGCACACCGCAAGAGCCACCTCAGCACCCAGGGGGTGCCGCGCCTGTCCGTGGACGTCGTGTTCCCCAACCACCTCACTTATTTCGACCTCCTCACCACCCTACGCGAGCTCCGCCGCTCCCATCTTCCTGCTACGACGTTCTTTGGCCTCAAGGATTTGGCAGCGGACGTGAACACGTTCATCTTGGAATGCAATGGGCCAGGGGTCTTTGACCACTACTGGGCGCTGTGTTCCCAGATGTCCGCGCTCAGCGCGACGAGATTCTTGGTGGTTTCGGATGCTTCTCCAGACACGTGGGCCGCAGTTTTGGACACGATCTACCAGCGCGACCCGGGCAACGCTGCGACCCGCCTCAAACATCGCCCCTCCAGATTCGGTGGCCGGGCTATCGCCACCGCCGCCGCGACGGCCCCGCGCTCCGCTGCTGCCAAGCGGAGGGCCGGGAAACCCAATTCCATCTCCGACTTCATCGCGGAGGTGCGGGTTCAGGGCGAGCTGGGGCTGCAGGACCAGGAGGTGATGTCACGCCTGATGCGCCACGCCGTCGAAGCCACTGGCATCGCCCTCACCCTGGCGACGAACTCCGACCACCCTAAACCAGGGGAGTTCTACCACGTGCCCCGTGACGCGCTGCCCATGCCAGGGGGGGTCATCAAGGTGTTGGCCAAGACGAAGGCGGACATCACCATGTTGTACACGACCCTCCACGGGCAGGCGATCCAGGTCGGTCAGGACATGATCCGCGTGCAGGTGGTGAATGACATGATGGACCTCGCGGCGGAGACGGGAAACGACCCGCGGGCCCGGCCCTAGGCGCCCCCGGAGCCCGCGAGGCCGGGCGCCTCAGGGGATCGAGGTCGGTCGTTGACCTCGGAATTCGGTGCATTGATTGGGAGGGCTTCGCAGGTTTCGCCGTGCTGCTCGTCTTCCGCGCCCACGTGGATTGCATTTCGCCTTCTTCGCCGTCGCGGCCTGACCTTCAGCCTCCGTCTCCTGCTGGCCCAGATTTTTCTGCTGAGCATTCTATGCACGCCTCCCTTCTGCCCTCTTCTTCTCACTCCTCCCTTCCCTCTCGCGCACGTGATTCGCCATGCGCTAGGGGCGGCCAGCGCCACACGAGCGCGATGGCGCCCCGCCTTGCTCTCCCTCCTCTCCTGTTCTCTGCTGACGAGCTTACGCCCGACGCCGACGACGCCTGCGGTGACGTCCCGGTGCACATTTATCGACGTATGCGAGTTCTGCGAGCGCTTGGTGCTGTTCCTGCTGGCCGTATCTTGCCGCCGCCGGTATCTCGTCCTCGTGCTCTGCCAAGTGGCCTCGATCGTCGGCGAGGGCAGTTCTTGGGAGACTTCGCCGTTACGACGTGGAACGCCCAAGCTCTCTTTGCGTCTGACATATATCGCTCCACTGCGAAGATCTCGTACGTCGCGAAATTGATGACCAAATCCGACGTGTGCTTGATCGCCGAAGCCCATGACACGGAGACCAGCAATTCGACATGGAAGGCACCGCCGGGCACCACGGCTTGGCGGTCTGAAGGGGCCTCGGCGGGGCAGGCCGGGGTCGGCGTGATCGTTCGAGACACGTTCCTCCGATTATTCTCGGAACCTCCCCGCTGGGTCCACATCTGGCGCGGTCGAGCCGCCAAGTTGTGTCTCCGGGGTACCCGCGGCGCTCTGGACCCGGCGGTGGTCTATGCGCACGCGGGCAACCACAGCGCGCCTGAGGGAGCGGACCTTGACGGCGTCCCCGCCGCCAGGCATGGCCACATCCACTCCTACTTCGACCTGCGCTCCTGCTTGCGGTGCAAAGTGCGCGACGCCCTGGCTTCCCCCGAAGATTGCCTCGCGGTGTTGGGGGGCGACTTCAATTACGTCACCGAGGAAGAGGATAGGATTGCGCTGAACACGATGACCTACACGGGGTACCGGGACAATCGCGATGAGCAGCATTTTAAGGCGACCATCGGCGACAGGTACAACCTCTCGGAGATGTTCCAAGGCGAGCTCACCCACGCCTCGGCCTCCGCGCGGTCCCGCCTCGACCGTATATATGCAAACTTCCCGTTGGCGGACCAGCTGGACAGGCGCATCCGGTGCTCCGCGCTGGAGTGGCGGCACGACCTCTCCCACCACCGGGCTGTCTTCTTCGCTCGGCACACCCCTCAACATGGCGACGGCGATCTACGGCCGCTCCCGCCCTCAGCATTGTCGCACCCAGACTTCTCCAGGAGGGTTGCGTTGGAATATCTTGCGGCTCGCCAGGACCATCCCGAGGCTTCCGCGCTGATACGCCTCCGCTTGTACATTGTACAAGGCGGCGATGCGCCTGGTCGCATCCCGCATCGAAAGCGAGCGCTCGACGCCTCCGGCCGCTACCGCGCTTGAGGGCCGGCTGGGGTGCACCGTGAAATTCATCCGGGCAGCTGAAGCCGGCCGCGTTCACGAGATCTCCACTTGCTTGCTGCGATACCCTTCCCTGCGGGACCACGTGGACAACCCGTTCGTCGTCGAGGGCAACATGTCCCGGCATCTCCGCGGGGTCCGGCTACGCGCGATCCAATTGGCGAGGGAACACGCTATCGACGAGCTCGGGAAGTCGCACGCCGACCTCACCAGCGAGGACGATTTCCGCGCGACGCAGGCCCGGCAGAAGAACGCCCGCCTGATTTACCGGCTTGCCCCAGGACGTGCCGGCGGTGTCTCAGCCGTGGAGCGGCCCGACGGGGAGGTGGTGACCTGTCCGGACGGGAAGGCTAATGCTCTTCGTTCTCATTGGGGGCAGGTGTTCAAAGCTAAGGGAATCGACACGGCCTTGCTGCGCGCCTGGACGGACGAGGACGAGGACACCCGCCCACTCAGGGACGCGGTGCCGTTCAAGGACTCCTTCCGCCTCTCTCGTCGCCACGTTCGCAAGGCCATCTTGAGCTCCAATAACTCCTCCCCGGGTCCAGATGGCATCCCGTTCCAGGCGTGGAGGTGCAACGTGCGGCTCTCGGTGGAGGTCTTGAGCGACGCTTTCGCGGCCCTGTCCGGGGGCGATGCCCAGGAGGTCATGGAGGATTTTGCGGCGGACTTCAACTCCAGCCTGCTCTTCTTCCTCCCCAAAAAGCCCTCCGGGGTGGGACCCACGGGCGAAGGGTATTACAAGCCAGCAAACGTCCGTCCTTTGAACGTCACGAATACGGACATCGGCTGTTGGCCAGCGCGGTCCGGCTTCTCATTGAACCTGTTGTGGGCCCTCGCGTGTTGGACATCCAGCGCGGGTTCATTACTGGGAGGTCCATGCTGTCCAACCTTGTCGACATCGAGGAGGCTGCGGTGCGCGCCGCGTGCGCGTCGGACGACGGGGGCGCTATCTTCTTCGACTTCGCGGCCGCTTTCCCGTCCATCGAGCATTCCTTTCTTCGGTCCGTGTTCGAGTCATTGAATTGGCCGCCATGGCTGCGACGTTTCATCGACGTGCTCTACAACGGGAACTTCTGCGAGATCGTCCTGGACGGCGCCCGGTACCAGGGCTTCCCGATCCACCGCGGCATCCGGCAAGGATGCCCCCTCTCCCCCCTCCTTTTCGCAGTGGCCGCGGACTTGCTCTTGAGGCGTCTCGCCCGCGACTTCCCGGCCGTAACCCTTCGGGCGTACGCCGACGACGCGGCGCTGGTCGATCCGCATCTTTTGGAGCACCTGAGCCCGCTCGAGCAGGTCTTCGGCGAATACGCCCGGATCTCCGGCCTGGAGCTGAATGTGGATAAAACGGTGTTGATCCCATTGGGGCAGCTGTCCAACGAGCAGGTTCGAGATCAGATCCAACGGCGCGCGCCGCTATGGGGCGCGATGTCGATTGCGGACTGCGCGAAATACCTGGGCTTAGTGGTGGGGCCAGGGCGCGGTCAGAAGTCCTGGAGCGCAGCTATGGGGAAGTTCTTGGATCGCGCGAACGTGTGGGGCAAGGTCGGCGCGGGAACTTTGCGCGCCATCGAGGCGTGCAAGGTGTTCGTCGCCTCCGTGGTCTCCTTCATTTTGCAGCTCGACCCCCTCCCGGACGATTTCCCCCAGCTGGAGGCCCGAGCTCTGCGGAAACTCTTCCCAGGGCCGTGGGACTGGATCACCGGTGACCTGCTCAAACGTGTGAGCTCCCTCAGCTTCCCCCGGGACCTGGCGGACCTGTTCGCGAAAGCCGACGTTGCTAAAGTACGGGTGTCGTTACACGAGGCTCGCCGGAGCGGAGGCTTGAGGGTGCGCTGCCGCGCCGCCTCCTTGAGGTCATTGCTCGCCGACTTCGACAGCATCCGGCGGTTGGGAACCCGCCTACCGTGGGCTACCAGTACTTTCCTCTTTTCGCTGGACTCCGCACTCGCGGCGTTCGAGGGGAAGGGCGACCTCACCGCGGCACTCATGAATCCAGAAACCAAGGAGGGACAGCGAGAGGGTTGGCAAGCGCGCGCCCTGCGCGCCACCCGCCCTGCCCACTCCGAGCCAGCAGGACGATTCCTACGGCGCCGTCTCGACCACTGGCCGGCTACGGTTCTCTCGGGTCACCGATGCGCAGCATATCGACGGCAGCTCCAGGATATCCGGGCCCACATGCCCCCCCGAGTGTTGGCGGCTGTACTGCGGGTGGGCCTCAATGGGTGGATGACGGCTCGACGGTTTGGGCGTTCTGGGACGTGCGTTCTGGGTTGCGGGCGGGCCGACGACTCCATTGAGCACTACGCCCGCTGCCCGTGTTACCATGGGCTCTGCCGTCGCCATCTTCGCTTGGAGCGGCCACCGCACGACCTCGAGCTGGACGTATTTCTCTCCCTCCGCCCTGCAACGCGACGCATACTTATCGACGCACCTCCTGAGGGCGGCGCCCGGGCCTCCTCCCTCCGCGCCTTGAGTGTTTACGCGCTGTACCGCACGCACAACTGTTTGAGATTAACTCCCACGGCGGGGCCTGCCGCCGAGCTCTTCCGCGGTTTTCTGCGCGAGGGCGCACGGGGCCACGCTCCCGCGATGGCGCTCCTGAGCTCGGTGCACAAGCGCCGGCACCAGGCGTAGCCCGCTGGCTTCGGCAGTTGCCTCGCTGCTCCTAGTGGGGCTCTGGTCGTGCTCGTTGGCTCTCCTCCTCTTCTTTCCTCCCCTCCTCCTATGCGTGTTGGCGAGTTTCACTTTTATATCGTATATCGTTCTCACAGGGCACCTGGTGCTTTCCCCCTCCCCGCTGTCTTGTGGGTGAGGCTTCCTGGCGCTCGCTGCCACAGTGCGTTTTGTGGCCTCTGACGCGCAAGGACCATGAGTTTTGTCTCTGCCTTCCCCCCTCTCCTCCGCTGCCTCCTCCTGCCCCCTGTTCTCCACCCGGTCTCACCGATACGATGTTGGGGTATTTCGTATCGCTCCGCGTTCGCGCGATTTTGCCAGAGGCCGTGCTCCTAAGCAGTGGCGGAGACCTGCGCTGAGTGTTGGTTCCGTTTGTGCAGTCTTCCTCCCTCCCTGCTCGTTGTCCTCCCTCCTCCTTCGCCCTCTCTCTCCCCTGCTCCCGCTTGCCTTTCAGTGTATATGTTTGCCCCTCCTGTGGCGGAGCTGCTCCTGCAACGGATTGTAACGAGGGTGCACGCTCGCCCGGGCAATCATTGTCACAGGTAGCTTCTTCTTCCCCGGCCGGAATTTCGGCCACGTTCGCAGGACAGCCTTGCGACGACCATGCGTTGTGTATACTATCGCTGTCCGCTCCCATCTCCTGCTCCTCCCAAAAAAAATGGGCTCTCCGGAGGGCGGAGGGTCTGGAGGATCGGAATGGGTACGGGAAAAAATGGGTATGAAGACTGCAGTAGGGGCCCATGCCACGAAACACCATGCTTGCCTCCAGGGTGCCCTGGGTTTCTTGGGTTATGATGGTTTTGCAATGGAAAGCGCGACGTTCCCACACCAAGAGTCGATGGACGCCCTGTGGTCTCAGGGTTGGGTGATTTGTGACAGGTTTCTTGTGGTCGGGCCCCTACTGTAACAGCCAAGCCTGGCCATCTTGAAGAGGAATCGCTGTCGGCGTCGCTGCGGGCGGTGCCCATGAGAGACACAGGGCCGTCTGCCCAACAGCGGCCGCTGCCGGTTTTGGACAACATGTGTTTTTGGGCCTCGTATCCGTTTTTTTTCCGTATTCGCTTCGGGCGTCCAAAGGGGAGGGGGAGCGGAATCGTCAGAGGAGGGCGAGTTAAGACAGCGGCCGTTGGCTTTCGGCGGGGGCCCTTGTCGCCATGGCTGGGCGCAGCCCGGAATCCTGGTGCGCCAGGACTCCGGGAGGGGTCTGGAGGCCGATTTTGAGCTGCTGTTGTCTCAACTCGCCCTGCTTCGAGAGAGGCCCCCAAACGGTGCGGTGGCCACCCTGCGTGGTGAGTCAGCGGGGATTCTGGGTGGCCGAATGGTTTTGGGACAACGGGTCGTTCTCCGAGGGCTTTTCGGGCAGCCAGGTCCTCCAGGGTCGCGGAACGGTGCGGCGACGGACCGTGCGGTGAGGTCGCTGGGGGCTGCGAGGTCACCGCGCGGTCCGTCACCGCACCGTTCCCAGGCGTGCAATGCCCACTCCGCGCGGCCTCCTCGCAGCTTACCAAACTGGCGACTGTTTCGCAGCTCCCAGCCCCCAGGTAACTACGAGGTCTGGTCTGAGTCCCCGTGGTGTGCCCTTCCTGCTGGGCTTCCTCACAGCTCACACAAGGTGGCAACAGGTTCGCAGGTCGCAGCCCCCAGGGCCTCGCCGAGGAAGGCCCTGCGAGGGACGACTCGCCCCCGGGGCTCTCGCTCGAGACATCCTCGCAAAATCGCCCCCCCGCAGAAAGACCTGCGAGGTAGTCCACCGCGCTCCCAAGGACCCCTTCTGGGGATCCCGCTCGTTTCGCGCTGAATCCCGCGCCTCCGAGGGTGCGAGCGAAAAGACCCCGCGCGTGTTGCGCGGAACCCCGTGCTTCCAGGATCTCCCAGGGGGGGGGGCGGGGTTTGAAAAGACCCCGCGCGTTTCGCGTTGAACCCCGCGCTCCCACGGGGGGGGCGAAAAGACCCCGCGCGGTTCGCGCTGAACCCCGCGCTTCCAGGGGGGGGCGGGAGTCCCCGCGCGTTTCGCGCTGAACGTGCGGGGACTGGTGCGCGCGAAATCGACGCCGACGACGACGACCAGCGACGACCGACGACGACGTGGAGTAAATGTTGGACCGGCGATGACGACGATCGACGAGTAAATGTTGCCGACGGGGGGGGGGTGCTGCGTCGGCGCCGCGCAGGCCCAGGGGGACGACCGACGACGACGACGACGACGACGACGACGACGACAGACGACCGACGAGTGCGAGTAAATGTGGTGTGGCGCCGAGGGGAGGCGGGCGGTGTTTGCGCAGGCGCCGTACAAGCACGCGGGGGGAGACCACCGACGACGACGCGACGACCGACGACCGACGAGGAGTAAATGTCGCCGGGGGAGGGGTGGGAAAGGAGGGGCTGCGTAGGCGCCGTGCAGGCCTGAGGGGGACGACCGATGACGACGACGACAACAACGACGACGACGACGACGACGACGACGACGACGACGACGACGACGACGACCGACCCGACGAGTACATGTCGCCAAGGGTGTGTGTGTGTGTGTATGTGTGTGTGTGCTGCGTAGGCGCCGTGCATGCAGGCCGGGGGGGCGGACGACGACGGACGACCACCGACGACGACGACCAACGACGAGAAAATGTCGCCGAGGGGCGGGGGATAAGGGGGGGGGGGTTGCGCAAACGCCGCCGTACAGGCCCGGGGGGGGGGAAGACCGACGACGACGACCGACGACTGACGAGTAAATGAATGTCGCCGAGGGGTGGGTGCTGCGTAGTTGCCGCGCACGCAGGCCAGGCC